ATTCAAGCATGCTTTGGGAAATAATATCACTTCACTTAAATTGAAATAATCTTTGCTAATTAAATACAAAATCGTTGCTATCATAAAGGTAAACCAATTCAGCCACTCGAAATATATTGCCTTCACAAAGCAATGGAGGCAAAATTGAGAGTTCATGAGCTATGAACATTTGTTCTTTTCTTTGTCTTGAACTTTTCATACTCCACAGCCCCTATTAATTTTTTATAATTTTAATTACCATGTGATGGTCATACATATCTTTAACTTGTATTCTCTGTCATGATGTAATTATCTCAATGTGCCAAACTATTAATTAGTGTGCATATTTGCTTCCAATGACATAATGTATTGTCTTGTTTATTACCTCAGCTTGGAGTATTGACAGAAAAAGGTGCTAGTAAATTAGGCAAATTTTTTTTAACTCTTTGTTATAATCAGAATTCACAATCAACAGAATATAACAGCCAACAATCAATAAGAATTTATGTGAAATCCTCAGAATAAATTTGTCTAAAATCGGAGAAAGGCAAAAAATATAGGTAGTTTCCACTTTCCATCCACACAGCATTTCAAGAAGACTTGGCTCGAGACAAACTAAATGACATCGTCAGGTGATGGGTAAGCGCTGCAGTTGAATTCAGCCCTGCAACCTCCTGCTATAGAAGGATAATATTAATTAGTGGGCTATGAGATAAATTCCTAAATTTAAACAAACCTATCTACGATGCATTATGTACCAGCAATGTTACCTACGATTAACTGAATATGTAATATGTCTAATAAATTCACTAGGCCGCGAGCCGAGGACATTTATCTTTCAGTTTCGTAGCGCACATCAGGTAACTACCTGAAAATGATTTTAAAATGTTCCTTAGAAATTTAGTAACAAATATTGCCTTGTTCCCACTTCCAAAAGTTGCACGTTTTACAGAAAAGACGCTTTTACTACAATAAATATGTGTTACCATCTGTCCTATTTTCTCTGCTTTTCCGGTATCATGGGCCAATGAACGCAGACTTCTGCACGACGTAACAGTCAAGTTAGTCAGCTGTAGGTGGATCCCCAGTGGTCGGATGAATATCAGATGTACTACAACTGCTCGCTTTTGCGTTGAGTAGCCTTTCCATAGTTTTTTTCAGTTACCGGTAATATTAGTTCAGTTATTCTAAGGAGGTGTTGAAAAGTATGGGTAAGATATTAAACACTTGTATATCCTTACCATAAATAGCAATATTAGTTGAGCACTAGCTCATAAGACGTTGTTAAATAGGTACGGAGCGGTAACTCCAAGGAAGGCTAGACCTAGAATAATATGTCACAAACAACGATATTTTCTGGCTTGCATGAAATGTTTATGATTAATTTAATGACTCTTCTTGACTATTCAGCAGACTTATACTACTATATAGGCCACAGCATATTTGGAAATAGAAATGAATGGCTGTTTCTGTAATGCACGGTTGTGTGAAAGAGAAGAAATTATCAATTTTACTAATGTCGGTTGGTCTAAATCTAAATTCATAGAGTCGACAAGAACCTGGGAAGCAATGATAAGTTATGCCGGAGTGGAAAGAAAGGTAGCATTGGAAACGATTGAGAGGTGAGAAATCAAGTTGTAGACAAACAGTTGATGTTTTAAAATATAGTCTATAGTCCATACTCATACTGTCATAGGACATTTCAGACTGTGATATATCAAAATTTAGTGTAGATATAGTCTAGTAATGGTATGCAAACACTGCTGGACTGTAGTACATGCAATGAGCATATATACGCTCATTTAGTACATCAGATAAAATGCATTATGTATTCAAGGTATTAGTTAGTATTTAGGGGTATTTTTAAACTCATGCTGCTCCAAATATTATTTTCTTCCTCATTTTAGATACTGTACTACAAAAGAAAACGGCAATGTTCCACCAATCCGACCTAACGCAGGCTCTGATCCCTGCTGCTATCAGTGCTATAAAATGGATTAAACAAGAAGTCTTGAAGCTTAAAGGTATATGAGAATCATAATAGTTGCAAACAGCTTAGATGGGCTATTCATATTGAAATACTTTAGCACTTTTCTGCAATTGGAACTGCCCATCAAATTCATGTTGGAGACTTCATTGAGATTTTCAATTCATTTTTTTCCCTCGACTATGAAGATCTTTTGAGGTTAACGAGGCATTAATAAATAAAGCTGAGGAATTTGAAGAGGATATGAAGAATGTAAATGATACCAGGGCACGTCTATTTAACACTGTCAAACATAAGGATTATACTCTCCACCCAACAATGATTCACTGAAGAAGCATGTGGCCCTCAAATCAGTTCTTGAGTTGGCAAACTGCAAGTGTAAGAAAAATAGTCAAAATAATTTATGAAAGTGTGCCAAAATCAACTTAAATTGCACAGATTTTTGTTTTTGTATTGACTGCAAAAATCACAGTACACTTATAGAGGAAAAGTCGATTTTTGAGATAGTGGATTTCGAAAACAATTCAGAAGAAAGTGAATTAGATATTACAGTTGATTTAATAAGTATCATTTATTTGTTGTTTTTTCGGACATTTGTTAGTGTCGTAGTCCTGTTTCTAGAAATATTATTGCCTTTGTTCAAATACATAACCACATAAACTAAAAAAAGATTAATTGTAAATTGTAATATTTCTGTTCACTATTTTATGTACATATTGTACATTCATTTAATTTTCTTGACTTTTGCTGTAAATTTCTAAGTGAGAAATAACTGATTTATTTGTGTTTTCGTGCTCACGATGTTAATTTGTGACTTCATTGCTTAAAAATAAATACGTTTGATAGCCTCTATAAAATGGATGTAGCTTTTTATGCTGTTCTTGTTGTAAACTGCTTGTGGTTATTACATAAAATTTATTCGCAAATGTGAATCAGCGTTGTTGGTGTCGCTGCTTTCGAGCTCACTCCCAACTCCTGTCACACAATTAAAGTATTTTTTGTTGTTGGTTACATGTTTGCCATATTTTTCGTAATCTACCTAATAAATTATGATTGACTGAGGAAGTCCGAGCAAAACATTACAGGAATACATTTGTGTTAGTGTGCTGTAGGGCTCTCGAATTGCATAGTTCTTATGTATGTGTTGTAACTTATGGTTATTGAATTTCCGGGAACCTCTTATATTCAATTTCGCACCAGGATTGTGGAACAAGCTGTAATGCGTTCATTATGTTCGTTTTCACACAAAACTGAAGAATTGATTTAGTTACGGTACCAGATGTGCGCTACGAAACTCATTTTCTGGGCGTTTTCATGGCTTCGTCTCACGGCCCATATCCGTGGTAAGGATCTACAAGTGTTTAATAACTTACTTATACATTTTTCAACAACGTCTTAGCATAACTTAACTAATAATAACTAAACAGGGCTATGGAAAGCCTGCCCAACTCAGCGCAAGGTCGAGCAGTAATAACTAAAATTCATCCGCTCGCTAACAGCTGGTTTAATTCAATTGTTACGTCATGCAGAAGTCATTGTTCCATGCCGAAAATGTAGAGAATATAGGACAGATCGTAGCACATATTTCTTGTAGTAAAAGCGTCTTTTCCGTAAAACGTGCAACTTTTGGAAGTGGGAACAAGGCAATATTTGTTACTAAATTTTTAAGGAACATTTTAAAATCATTTTCAGGTAGTTACCTGATGTGCGCTACGAAACTCACTTTCTAGGCGTTTTTCAGGGCCTCGGCTCGCGGCCTACACCTACAAAAGCAAGTTCGATAGGTGCAAACTTTGTGTTATGGAATTGTATCACAGCACAGTTTTGTATGACACCCTCTTTAAATGAAATTTCAATGATTAAGCGCAAACATTAAATTACTAACTTTGAACTTTGTCATTATCTGCAAAAATGTTCCACACAAAATCTTTCCGCTATCGCGTTTGTTAATCCTTCTCTGATAAAAAAAAAAACGTCTATGATGTCCCAAATTGCTCTTTACAGCTTGCCTGCCATTCCAGCTTTCCCAAGTGAAGCAAAACTTCTTAGATATAGAGATTATTTTGTTTCGTTACAGGCGCAAAAAGGCAGGTACAACACGTAAAAAAGACGCCAAGTAGCAAAAGCGAGCGGAAAACGGACGCGAAAGGCGACGAGAAATATGTGCATTGGAGCGTATCATGAAATACAATCTTTCGCCTGTAGTCTTATGGAGTGACGTCAGAGTTGCCTATCATGTTGTTTAATGTCATTGGTGCATCCCGTGGCTTCCAGTTGTATCTGCCCTCCCCGTGTAATAAAGGTTACACCACAGAGAATGATATAGCATCGGCATAAACGTGAGAGGCCGTGGTTTGCTATATTATTAATTTATCTTATCAGCTTGCTTCTCTTCTGTGATAAATATGTGAATCCCATCCTGAGTAAATAAAAATGTCAAATATTATTACAGCGCTCCCAAATTCGCAATCAGCGCTCCCACAGTTACGCAAACGTCCATCGGAGGGCGTGTTCTCGCACTACGCTGGTTAGGAACGGAGACCGATTTTCTGAGACTTTTAATCTGCAATATACCGGTCAGCCGGTACCGTTTCTCAAAAGCGAAGTTGATTTCAATTGAGATAAATATGTCGCCGGATGAGAACAGAAGGGGTCTAAGTCACATTTTTTAACATTTCACTTTTTCCAATATTTACAATCAATAATAAAAATTTTAGCTGGACTTACTGACTTAGGTCCTTAATATTTTCTAGAAGTTAGAAACAGAATGGGCCAAAGTCCTTTTTGGGGGGGAAAAAAACATAAAAAAAATATTGATTACAAAGATATTCTCATCCACACATAACCAGAGATCAGGTCCTTACTAAGTGTAAATATCTAGATATTCAAAAAAAGAAATTCAAAATGGTTTTTTGCGTTTTGCTCAAAACTCAAAATTGTGACTTAAACTTGCCTGTTCTGTTCTCATCCGGCGATGTGTTGTCTTGACTATAATGATTGTTAGGCAGTTATTGGTACGTAACATATTGTGTGTGAATTGTTTCAACTCGCACAGTTTGCCAAATAATAGTCGTGTTTCAGAGACAAATAATGTGTTCGATTTATTGAACTATATTTTGGGACATTTTGAAATCAAGAGAACTGTGTCCTACTAGGTTCCATATTTCAATCATCAGATAATGTTAACAGGTTAAAATAGACTTCTATTATGAAATAATGCCTCAATTTAAAAGCAAGTGCGGTAGCATACCACACAGATGCTGATAGCAGACACAACTTTTGGTATCGTGGAATTCTTATTGGGTTTCTTTTGCTGACTTGAACTTCTCCAAGATTTGCATCAACCAATTTTCTACAATATTCCATTCCCTTGGATATTGCTTGGACCCCGGCATACGTGCTTTCGAATGAATTCTCTCTTTATTTAAAAATGGCGACAATTTTTTACGAATGCATGAGTGGAATATTCAGTTCCTCATGTTATTTTGTGATCTATGGATTTTTGGTTTACGTCACAATTCCGCTGATTTTCAAGATTTATCCAAAAATCGTCTTTGAAGGATTATTTCTCAACAGAGTCTGCCCACCTGTATGGTTACTGAAGCTGAACAAACCAGACAAAGTAAGACTTTCTACAAGACGTTTGTATCAGTGAGTGCTTCTGAATGAGTGCCCATAACTTTGCTCAGAGATGAGTCTCCTTATCTGAGTGTGTGCGAGTAACTCTGCTCAGAGAAGCGTCTCCTTTACTTTTGAGTGAGTACCCGTAACTTTGCTCAGAGATGAGTCTCTTTCACTTATGAGTGCCTGTAACAATGCTCAGAGATGAGTCTCCTTTGCTTCTGAGTGAGTGCGTGTAACTTTGCTCAGCTATTAGTCTCTTTTACTTCTGAGTAAGTGCACTTAATAACTCCGATCAGTAATATGTCCCTTCACTTATGAGTAAATGCACTAAACCTTGCTTCAACCAGATACCCTTATTATAGTGATCAATTCCTAACTCTAAATTCTCTTCTTTTACTTCAGGCCTACAATCTTAAAGAGAGCAAGAACTGCTATGTGAAGTCTTCGAGTGGAAGTACTTTAGGCGTTTGGCATATTCCGCCAGTCACTCAGTACGATACTCCAGAGGTCAAATCAGGGTCATTACAAGACGCTGAGAAAATCATCATTTATTGCCATGGCAACTCGTTTCATCGTGGTTTCAAGCATCGAAGAGATTTATATTCAGAGCTGCAGAAATCAGGTATGAATAATATGGTCGAATTCTTTTTGTCAAACTCAAAGGTACTCGGAGCCGCAACATTTACTCTAATGTCAGTGGCTATTAAAACTACCGAAAACCACTTCTGATGCAATAATTCAGTTTCTGACAAAATAAAAATAACTTGAAATTAAAAAGAAAAAGTTTGTTTAGACATAATTGAATCACTTTGATGCGACCTATTGTTCCGCTCACGACTTCTGTTGTCATGTGTAATTAGTGAGTAGTAATAGACTTTATGTCTCCGACTTTCATTGAATCCCCACGGCTTCTAACAAAAACGGCTGTTGCCACTTTGATTCATGGGAGCCAGAGCTCCGAAAACAGAGAGTCGCATGCTGCTGATCGCTGGTCTACCCTAACTAATTGTGAGACAGCGTTGGTAAATTAGTTAGAACTAGAATATTGCATCATAAGTGGTTTTTCGATAGTTCTAATAGTATCTGACATTAGAGTACATGTTGCGGCTCGAGTAGGTTTGAGTTTGGCATAAATGTTACATTTTATGAACAATATATACAGTGTTACAAAAGTGAAAAACAATAAGCCTCGTGCCAAAACTACATTTAATCCCAATCTCAACAAATTCCTATTTTTCGCTAGAACATCAAAATTTGGTTTTATTTCAGTTGTGGCAGCATCAGGCAGGCCAGATTGAATAACCCAACGGGCCAGATTTGGCTTGCGTAGTTTGCCCATGCCGGGTGTAGACGATGCCATATGGCTCTTTTTGATGCCAAAGGTTGCCAAATCGTGGCCTAGGCCAGGGCTACTCAGCTATTTGTTTAAAATTATTTGGGTCCGGTCTTTACAGAAATTGTGTTTCGGCATCCTTAAAGCACACTTCCTCGGCCGGCTAATGATTATTAGCAAATCAAGATTGTTTATTATGATGTAAGGTATTTTCATATATATTCGAAACTATAAAATTCATTTTATAAAAGAAAACTTCAAAAGTGGGGCTAATGATCCAAAATAAAGAATTAGGTGCGGTCCGAATCAAATACTCGAAAAGTCCGGATTCGGACCGCGGTCCGCCAGTTGAGTAGCCCTGGCCTAGACATGTCAGTGGACATAACGATCGCTTCAATATTATGTTGTTGTTTTTCGTCATCATTATCATTAAAAAATCGTTTTTTTTCGAATACTGGACCAGTTGCTTTGAAATTTTCAGTGGTTAATAAAGATTGATATTTTTACCAGAAGGCTATTACGGTACTTTTATTTATTCCTAAATTTTCTATGGATCTTATGAGATCTAATATTTCATCCAAAATTGTGCTGTATTACTTTTTAATTATGGGAACACGGTTTTTAATCCGCCAAGCGTGACGGCTGACTGTGAAAATTCTTGCGACTGAAAACTCGGAAGTATTTTGAGGTTACGGTATCAATAACGTCAAAGGTAAGGACTGCATCGCTCTGGTCCACGTGTCCATATATTTGAGCGTTGCTCTCCTGTTGTATCAATCTGCTCATTCACACAAATAAAATCTTTTTCATTTTCACCAAGGATTCCACATCATAGCTTTTGACTACAGTGGATTTGCGGACTCTACCGGTCAGCCGAGCCCAAGAGTCGTGGAGGATGCAATTAGCGTGTATAAGTGGACGGTCAAGCAGGTTGGATTATGTTTTATCATATTTGTCACTGCTTAATCATATGGCGAATATCAGCAAAGCAGAGGTACCATATATAAATTGTATATAAGCACAGTTTAAACTAAAAAAAAAAGTTCCCAAACTAAAGGGTCGGCTTATATGCGCCTCACTCTAATCACACTAAATTTCGGCTTCATAAGCGCATAACCCTGATCGTGCGGGGTCAACTTATACATTCATAACACAGTTGCCTGTCAATAGGGAATTCCCCTTTATGTTATTCCCTGATTACCAAGTTATAAAAATCGAATCAGTAATTGTCAAATTTCTGACACTTAATGTATTTAATCACTCAGCTCCAGAAAGAAGATGTGACAATCGTGCTTTGGGGTCATTCACTCGGCACTTACATCAGCACGAGGGCGCTATCGCTCATGTACGACCAGAAAGATGGCACTCGACTCCCTGACTGTCTGATACTTGAAGCTCCGTTCACGAATACATATGATGCCGCAGACTGCTTCCCACTATCTAAGGTGAAATTCATATTTTGTTTCATTTCAGTACTCCCGTAGCATGTGAACCAAGATGGCGGACATCTGAACGAAGTATGTGTACCAGGTTAGGTTTAGGCAATGATTTCAGGTACAAATACTACAAAGTCACTTGGCTAGTCCCCGAACTCGTAATAGAACTAAAATAAGGAAAATTGGAATAAAATTATGGACTTACCCTAACCTGGTACACATACTACGTTCTGGTGTCCGCCATCTTGGTACACATACTACGGGAGTATGCTCATTTCAATGATGTGATATAGTATTATACGATGCTTATTAACGCTTTTTTCACGTGCAAGGCCAGGCACCAGTAGCAACAGATACTCGTATCTAACGATATGCAAGGATATACTATCTTTTGGAAGGGCTCAAATCTTTCCAGTTTGGTCCTTGTTAACAGAATTCTGTTAATTTTTGCGAACACTTATTAACTAGTTGCTGATCACTCTTTGGGGACCTCTGTACTATGCCATTGTGGTAGTGCGTCAAGACTTTTGAATTGAATAACATCTAAAAATTGTATTTATTACATCTCTCTTCCAGTATTTCTATCTGCTCTATCCCTTCATGAGGTCTCAAGTTCACAAGAATATCAAACAATATGACGTAGAGCTCAGGACGGAGAAGTATCTGCCGACAATAAAGGCTCCTGTTATGATCCTACATGCTAAAGATGATCAGAGGTATGTAGGCAGAAATAATTGAAAGGTATGGCTTGCCAGTTGGTGTATCGTCCTAAGCGTAAGTAACACGCTTACGTGGCGCTCCTCAAGAGTTCACAGGTTCAAAACATGTTATTTATGAGAATATGGCTTGCAGAACTGTTTACTGTCGTAAGGTGGTTCATGTAACCTCCATCATCAAGTTATGTCTCGTAAATTCATCATCATCATCATTCACAATATTTACCGGTACGGTCTTACAGTATGGTATTTAATATAAGTTTATTTTGACTCCTCAGCATAACAAGCGCTATAATGCCTAATTGTCAGATTGATTAAAACAAAATAATTAACCGATTAGCTCCGTGCATCAAGTCCAAGGAGGGGGGAAGAGCGGTCGCCCCAATTTTCTTGTCCCCAAAAGTATAATAAAATGTCATCCATGCATTGGAAAACAAATAACTGGCTAAACAATCCCATAACCGACAAGGACTGGTGATCGGACGAGAGGCCACGGTTCGCTATATGATTAAGCTGTCCTAGCGGCTTTTCTCTCCCTCGGGATAAATATGTAAATCCTATCCTTCGCTTTTTATTGATACCTCATCAGAATTTTACATGCTTAAAGCAAGCCAGGGTTTGTAAAAGGGTATTCCTGTAGTATGTGTACCAGGTTAGGGCACAATTTCATTCTGATTTTCTTACTTTAGTTCTATTACGTGTTCGAGGACTGTTTGTGTCAGCCAAGTAAATATATCCCCTGCCCATAGGTTTCAGTCCCTTTACCCAAATTGATGTCAAGTAGATGAACAAAATTAGTTACCTCCATTTTGGTACACATGCTTCTGGAGCGCTTCCCAAAGACACACTTATTCATGTCTTAGCCAGCATGGTCAACTTTGTTACACGTCTCTCAAGTCAAGTCAAACGATTTCCAATGACTCTGGCTTTGATTACAAGAAAACTGGTTGCCCTTTGACACATTTCTGGAGCGCCCTGTAAAAGCAATATTTGCATGGTGTTAATGCAACATTAATGCAAAGTCTTGGTGGTAGGCCCTATTAGCTTCGCTTCCCAATCGACTCGGATTCGCTTTCTTTTGAAATAAAAAAATCCAATTCTCAAACCAAAGTATTCCATTCCTTACAGAATCGACATTCATCTCGGTGAGACTCTGTACAAAAAGACGACCTCTGACCCCATGACAAAATCTCCTTACATTCGTTTCATTCGAATGCACGAAGATTACGGAGTGAAGCATTACACTGCTAAGCATCCTGAGATAAGGCAGTTAGTGCATGATTTCATGGCTGAGGTAGCAAAGGTGAAAGGTGATCAGGAACAAGGAAGTAAAAATAGATTTGAATTGATAGATATTTAATTTTTCATTTTACTTGTTTAATTAGGCAATAAATATAAATGCTTTGGTCGAGTAGCAAAGATCAAAGGTTACCAGGAAATATGAAGTAAAACTGATTCAAGATTCATTTTTTTTATTAACCTTTATTTTGTTAATGAGACAATTAGAGGCAAATTGAACTTGCATTTCTGGAATTACGACAAGTGATACATGGGCTTGGTTTTGTTAGGTAAACCCTCGGCATTGATTTCTCCTGAATCAGTTAGAATAGGGGTGGGCAAACTGCGATCCACGGGCCAGTTATGGCTGTCCGAAGTGTTTCAGTCGGCCTGTTATGCTATATATTTGTGAATGGACTGTTTCTTATTCGTAGTTTTGAGCCTCCGGCCCAGTAACCAAGTATTATCTGTAACAGGCCCACTCAGAAAAGTAATTGCCCATTACTTACTTAGAATATCATTTTATATTGGTCCATCTCAAGTAACTTAATTATTCATAGACTTTTTTTTGGTACTCCCAAAGTCTGTGAACCAAGATGGTCGACACCGGAACGTAGTATGTGTATCAGGTTAGAGTTGGGCCATATTTCAAGTACAAATACTACGGGAGTCACTTGGCTAGTCCCTGAACTCGTAATAGAACTAAAATAAGAAAAATTGGAATAAAATTATGGCCTAACCTTAACCTAGTACACGTACAACGTTCCAGTGTCCGCCATCTTGGTTCACATACTTCGGGAGTACCCTATTTTCTGTGAAGTTACAAAGGACAACTACTGTTAACGCCCAGCATTATAACCATTCATGTTCATTCAACTCTTCCCAATTTTCATGCTAAGATTTTATAGTCTATATTTCTATAATTAAAAGTATTCCAACATAACTTATTAATGGATTGTAGTTTATATTCTCATTCTTAACTGTTTATTTATTACTCAAGATGCCAATGGTCAGAATTAGCAAGTTACAAATATGCTCGAAATAGAGTCGAATCACTCAACCAAAGTAGAAAGAGTTCTGATAGAAGAGTTGCAAGTTTGCCCCTTAGCCCCCCACTATGTATGGAAAAAAAACAATTATTCATTTCTTAGTGTGCATGGGCCACCTCATAACATGTCTCTCAAATCAAGTCAAACGATTTCCAATGACTCTGGCTTTGATTACGAGCAATCAGGTTGCCCTTAACTTAGATGCTAAGAGTTGAGTTTTCTTTACTTCTGAGTTCGCGTGATCTGGCTTTGAAAAAATTCTCTACTTTACTACTGGGTGAGTGCCTGTAAACTTTGCTCATTGATGAGTTCCTTTACTTCTGAGTGATTATCAGTGAGTGGCTGTAAACTTTGCTCAGAGATGAGTCTCCATTGTAGTTGACGTATATAACCTTCGTTGAGCAAATTCACTTGATAAATGATAGGCTAAGCTTTCACGTACTATTGAGCAAATTTGTTTTGATTTTTATTGTAAGATGTATAATCCCCTATGCACTGTATATGTTTAAATATGTAATTATTTTATCATAATTGTTGATTTGATTCCAATTATTTTGTAACAATCCTATCTCAATGCATTTAATCCACTGAGAAAAATAAACTTTGCATTATCTAGAGAAGTTGTCTGATCTTATGTTTATGTCAAAAAAGTTGACGGGCTAGAACTAGGGTTAACATATTTTTGTGACCTCAAAGTGGGACGCCTCTAAAGGCCCATAGCTATGATTTTTCATTACTTTAACGTTAAGCACCCTGTTGGCGCATGGGGCTTACACGTAACAAATTGTAGCAATTATCCGTGAACAATGTTAGCGGGAAACAACGAAACAAACAAAACCACGCATCCACCTTCATTAAGTAGGCTACCGGTACGCTACACAGCAACAACAGTATCGAGAACATGCTAATCGGTATTGTTCGTGTATTAGACTGGCTCAAGGCCAAAGCGAGACAAATAGCTGACCAGTCTGGAACCCGGGACAAGACCTTGAAAAGTGGGACTGTCCCACCTAAAATCCTAGCTAGGTAATAGCTATGGTAATCCTAGCTAGAACGGGATTTTGATGATAAAAACTGGCTCAGGAGCTAGGTTTGAAGGATGTCCAAAACAAATTAAATAATATTTGAAATTGGTTATATTTGAATTAATAAATTTTAGATTTAGGAATAACTTAATATATATTCATTTAAAAATGTCGTTTTCAGCATTTATTATTTTATAATAGACATAAATTCAACTAACTTCTGACTAAATAAAATAGAGAATACTAACTAAAAAACAATGTTCATCTCAATTATTTTGCGTAACCAAATTTAATTTCAACAAATTTACAATTGTTTTGAAGAATTTCTCTTGTGGAAGACCCATTTCAGAAAATATGCAATATTTCGTATTCACAAATATTTTTTTAGAATGTATTCGAAATTATTCGGTTCTGATCATACCTGGGCTTAGCATTTCTAATGGAATTCAGGTCGGAGCATGATTTTAGAGTTTTTTTGAGTCTGAGACTTTTTAATCGTGGCAAAAATTCCTGAAAAGAACTCTATGACAATTCCTGATCAAGAAAGGCTTGCAAACATTTAAGTGATATTGTCTGCCTGCTGCAAGTTGAGTATTTGACAAAAAAGCAGGTTATCAGAGTCTAAATTTTGAATTCTTCCTTGGTCCCCACTCCTTACCATATACATGAAATGAAAAACTGGGACAGATTAGATTGGACAAACCTTGGTGCGATTCTGAAGTTCAGTACAAGTTCACCCTCACATTGTGGGTGGGACAAATAGGGTCATGTTGGGGTTGAGCTGGGGTCCGTGTTGCGGGACCCCAAGTCAAGTTTTTTATTCCCAACCAGTAAAAAAAATCAATGGAACCTAAATTAGGAGAAAATGATAATTACGAAGCCTCTTTGGGGTAGCTCATTTGAAAAATTAACATTGTTTTTGACCTCAAGTACCTTGCGAATAATTCACTCAACAAATTCATTAAAGCTAGTTGACCAACTGCTGTACTTTTTGAAAGTCCGAATAACAAATATAAAATTGAGTGATTTGCGTTAGTTTGCGGACCAAGGTCTTTTTTATCTGAGTACCATGGGGATACACATGTGATAACAATTCCGCAGTGGGTGTTGCATCGTGCTAAGCGAAATCCTTTCCAACATCATGCCACAACATTACCTCTGCTTCTATCAGCATTGTGGGTTGTTGGCCGCCCACAATACGAACGTAGAACAACACGAATTTTCATTCTTGAAACACAAACTAACCCAGCATTCAGGAACATTGACACAATTTTTATAAAAAAGTGCGATTTAAAATGGCTGAAATATACAGGGTGTCCTTTCACATTTTTGCTATGAAATCAGTTCTCAATATATCTCAGCCAGGTTTGTTGTTTTTTGATCCGTAATAATTTAAGTATTTTTACTTCATTTAATATACCTGTGAGAGTGTGACGGCCAAAACAATATAGGGTATCGATGAATTTCCTTTTCCTGCAATTAAGAGTTTTTGGTCCAAGCATATGTTGAATTTTTTCAAAAGTGTAGTGAAAGTAATTTTTTTTGTGTTTTTTTTATCAAAATACATTGGAATTTTATTGGACTGCATTCGTTTCACCGGAAAAGGTAAAAGTTTTCGATGGTTTATACAAAATGGCCTAAAACGTAGAAATTTTGGTATAACTGGCATATTTTGTGATGATTCGTGACACAAAGTGTTCGATTGTGTGATACAGTTATTTCATATAAAATAGACGCACTGGACTGAAGTTAATGAAGTTTGCAGTGCTGTAGAACATGTCTTCACCTATTTAACGATTCATTACCAGAATTTTGAGAGATGATAGAGGCCGCTATTCCGAAGTGGAAAAATGTCCTGTAGTTTCACGTCATGTAGTATCACATACAAAAAGCACATTATTGGCATGGATCTACAGTGTTACATTAAGTAACTTGAGCAACACATAGGGGGGTAGTTCAGCTACTGCACCAGAAAATATTATGGGTTCCTGCTGTAACAGCACAACACAATGTAACGTTAATGCATGGTGGATTTGCTGTCCAGTAGTGTCACGCTATATTTTACTATATATTTTATATCCACTAAGTGAGTCTTGTGTGTAACTTTTGTTCAAACTCTATAAAGCAACCGATTGGACAATGAAACAAAACAGGTAGCTGGCAATATTTGACAACATGCAAATTTCTGGAATTGTCCTGTAAAGTCACTTGGAATAGCTCATATATGGTTTGCGGTTCACACCGGGACCCAAACAAAAAATTCAAAAAAACTCCTTCGGGATGTTTTAACTCCAGCTCTCAACTCAAAAAATCATTACAACAAACAGGATTCATATTGAAACTCATATTTGAATACTCCAATTCCTTTTCTTAACCTTAACCCCACTGCACAGAGTCAGAGGAGAACAATTTCCACCTTCAAAATATAATAAACAAACAGAGCACACAGAAATCTACATAAATAATAAAAAAGCAATATGTGTTGCATAAATATAAAAATAAATACATAGTGCAATTTAAAGTGGATGTAGTAATATCAGTTTTGCTGATGGGGGGGGTATTAGATTTAATGAATATTTATTGAGTGAAAGACTAGGTTGCGAGGAAGGTTGGGATAATCAGATGAAGTCCGACAGGCAGATAGACGTGCCCAAACCATTCCCGTTTGGTGAGTCAAGTCACTAAGTCCGGGCCGAGTGAGTTTCCTGTGTTGAGTCATGTTCATTCTTAAAACACTCGGTAAAAATTCCAAACAGTATTCAAGAATGAAAGTAATTTATTTTTAAAACGCGGTATAAATTGAGTGTTCCCAATAAGTAAAAAGATAAATGAGTGTTCCCATACAGTATACAAAAATAAAAATTAAACCTATTCTTATCAGTGTAAATATGAAAAGATGCATATGAAAAGTCAATCCGTGCACAGGGGCCAGCCTTTTCAGAGTCGATAGGAACATTTTCAGACCAAAAGCAAAGAAGACAAAAGATATCACTCATATCAGTGTCTAATTTTTGTAAATTTATAAATGAGAGATATGTGATTCATAAAAATAAATACGATGACATTCAGATATTTCATTAAATTATTGAAAATAGGAAATTGAACATAATAACGTTATCTGAATTATTCAGTATTACTAAATTCAACTTTTCTATCAATTTAGAATAATTTTTGAACATTCGTCTGCTAAGCATGGACCCACTTTAATGAAATATATTCTGTTTCAAAAACATTCCGAAATCCAAAACTCGAGGAAGCAATCCTGAACCAAAAATATTCAAATCTTGCTCCAAACCTTGTTCATTAAAAGCCGGGGGTGGGCCTGAGAAGCCAGCCCCCCTTGATATTTTCAACATTTTTTTTATTCAATTTTGCGGCATTTGCAGTGAGACACAAATCGTCTTTTTAACACCCTTTTGCTTTGTCCCTGATTGACTGAAAACCTGACGTTTTTTTAGCTTGTTATCAGTATTAAATAAGTAAGTGTAGCATGATGTCATTATACAAAAATAAAAGCCCACCTACCAAATTTCGGACTGGCTACATTCTTGAAAAAGGTAAAGATGCATAAGTTAACAACCAATATTCATTCTTAAAACACTCGGTAAAAATTCCAAACAGTATTCAAGAATGAAAGTTATTTATTTTTAAAACGCGGTATAAATTGAGTGTTCCCTAACAGTAAAAAGATAAATGAGTGTTCCCATACAGTACACAAAAATAAAAATTAAACCTACCCTTATCAGTGTAAATATGAAAAGATACATATGAAAACAACTCAACTTATTCAAACTGTTATCTGCTGATACCGAACTTTTTCAGAGATCACTTTTCCTGATAAAACATCAGTAAAATCAGTCATGATATCTTTCAAATGTTTGAAACTATAAACTAAATTATGACCTAAACCGTACTTGGAAGCAATTTTATAAAAATGCACCGATTTCGCAGCAGTTTTTGAGCCGCTCATCAAGTTATCATACAGCTCCTGTGACAGCCGAACGTTGACTTTCGGGTCATCCTCAGCATGGAGAATTAAAATATTTGACGATAATTTAGGAAGGTTTTTTAAAGTGTTAAATTCTATTTTGTGTTTTTCCATCGAAGAATTGAAAATCCGTCTCCAAATGAGAGGGTACATGATATCAAAAAGTTTGAATGCTTTGCTACTTTTTGAGGCTTCGGTTAATGACGTAAACGGTGACTCTAATACGACACCGTGTGGTGGTTGGATGTGCTGATTAGTTGAGAATTCTGCAAGGGCATAGGTCATGATCCCCGAACCCAAGGAATGACCCCATACGATGATGATAGCGTCTGTTTTCTGTAGTTGTTCTATGGTCCAAGCATAAACGCTTATTGTGTCCAGCTCGACGTTACGACCATTAGGAAAACCTGAAATTGCACAAAAAGAATATTATTAGACCAAGAAAATAATACAGGGTGTCCATAAAGTCCCTTTACGATTTCAATTTTTGTTATGAAGTCAGCTCTCAATATATTTTAACTAGAGCTCGACAAATATCACTTTTTGACGCCGATACCGATATCGATATATCGGCCAACTAGTGACCGATACCGATATTAATATAAATCATATTTTTGAGCAACAAATGGGCTTTTATTATGTACCTCATAAGTCTGTAGTTTCATTTTGATATTTATTATCATTGCAGTAAGAGTTTTATTTAACTAACTCTAGTTAATGCTTGAACAAATGTTATTCTGTAACTTTCCCTGCGACTTCAATATCAGTCCAGCTATTTCCAGGAAAAAGTATTGTTAATCTGACGTTTTTAAATATAACTGTGGCCGTGGGCATATGTTAAGGGTATTGTGGCACATTCTGGTGCTTGCCGAGTATGGCCGATATATATCGGCAAATTACTGCCGATATGATATTTCGGCAAACACGCAATATCGGCCCGATATACCAGTCGAGCTCTAATCTTAACCAGGTTTGTTGTTTTTTAATCAGTAATTGTTCAAGTATTTTTACTTCATTCAATACATCTGGGAGAGTCAAAACAATTTATGGCATCAATAAATTTCCTTTGCAATTTTAGGACTTTATGGACAACCCTATGTATTATTATATGGAAATAATACCAATATCATTATGAGGCAAAGCAGAGAGACTTGCAACTACTGAATCGTAATTTCTCGCCGAACCAAAGCCCAGTTTGAGTTGAATAAGCGTAGATAACGCCATATTCCAATCACCGCCTTGTTGCCAAATTTCCGTACGACTTTATTATTATGTTTATCAGGAGCATTTACTGAATACAAAGCAGCAAATACATCCTAATCATTAAATAAAGTAATTTTAATTTACTCAGAAACATCAACCAGTAAAGGACAATGTTTTTTATAATTTAATGTGGGGCTCAGTAAATATTACTCAACCCCTTCGCAGGCTCCATAACACCGAAAATTTAAGAATCCCGGCCCTAGCTAAGGGCTACTCAACTGGCGGACCGCAGTCCGAATCCGGATCTCTCAAGATTTAAGTTCGGACCGCCATGGAGATAATTCAAGTCGCTGGAAGACTTTCAAAAATATAATAGGTACGGATAATATGGGGGCGAATATATCACATATTTGTAGCAAAGTCGGCGCTCAGCTACACAACCGAATGCCTTGTCTTACCGCCACCGAAACATGATATAGACCCTTGCCTTTTTGTTTTGACAAACGATGCATTTTAAATGATGTTTGAATAGCAGAAATATATTTTTTGGAATTACCGGATCCCAGTAATTTTCAAATCTTGTGTACGGACCTTTGGTGAAAATAGTTGAGTAGCACTGCTCTAGCTTACCTGTTGAGTCTCCAAATCCACTGTAATCAAAAGTAACGACATGAAATCCGAGATTTGTTAGAACTTTATAAAACAATGTCCGATGTCCCGACGCTCTGTTGCCAGATTGTCCATGACAGTAGATGATTACTTTCTCTGGAAAATTAATGAAAAAAATTTCAAGAGATTTCTCCACCTTCACTCAAAGAAGTGCAACCTGCGACCAACGGGCCAAATGGGGCCCACAAGAAAAACTGCAACTCGCAGACAAATGTCAATTTTTGAACAATGTGCATTTCGCGGAATGAATTTATAATTAAGTTTAATCTGGATTCGCAGGCTCGACCCGGGCCTGTGGGTATTACATGGATTTGCAGGCCGGACCCAACTAATTAACTTGATTTGCAGACACTTTTCTCAATCAAGACAGATTTTCGGGCGTGGTCGTAAACATTACCTCGTTTTTGAACTCTATTATTAAGATTCAGTTGTGTTTAGGAAATATAAATATAAATCAGATAATTCAAATATCACGTTGTCTTCCTAGGAGTTTCAATTCAATTGCAGTAATAAAAAATTAGTGCAGAAATAGCTGTGATAGACTAGGCTAAAATTCTTTACCGGCACTATTAAAAAACAGATTGTTGTATGCGATGAATTGTGATGATGGTTTAAAACAAATACCCCATTTTACTCAAAACCACTCGTAAAATAAAATAAGCCCAGAAAATTTTACAATGGTAAAGTATAGGAAGAATATTTTCGAGGCGAAGGTCAGGGAAAGGTCCATTACAGCTTCCTCTCTGTTTTATACAAAATATTTCTTTTATAACAAGTATTCCTTAGTTTAGTATCCACGCATAGTTATAGTATATATTTTTTATAAACATATGTAGAAAAGCCCGACCCGTTGCGCTCAGGCTTCAGATCTTAGCTCTATGAGTGAGTAACTTTGCTCAGAGATGAGTCTCCTTTGCTTCTGAGTGAGTGCCCATAACTTTGCTCAGAGATGGCAGATGAGTCAGTAGCTCTTGGTATTTCAAACGTCGTCTGTAACTTTGTTCAGTTTTGAATCTCTTTTATTCCTGAGTGAGTATATTCACGTACCCAAACCTACTCCATTACTCACCAGCTTTACTAAGGGAAGGGTTCTCAGCATTCGGAGGAGGTACATGCCAGATTCCTATAATGTTGCCACTCTGTGATGTGATGTATTGGTTCGATGCTCCTTGAAAATTCCAATCTCTCTCAGGATTCGTGAGGCGCATGTAAACAGCAGGACCTGGAGAATAAAATATGCTGTGATAATATGGGCCGTGAAGTTGGAGAAACAGGGAGCAGGGCCTGAATGATATTTAAAATACAAGAGGCTGTGATCACCGGAACTTATGTGATAGCCCCATAGAAAATAATTTACCATAGTCTAACTGTTTTTATCACAAATACTTGTTTTACAGCAAAATGCTCTTGCGATTGGCAATTTGTCACGCACGAATTTTCCTATGTTGTGAGATTTCCCACAGCAAATTTTCCGGACACAGACTCAATCATATTATGATAATTTACTCTAGTCTCAGACTTCAGCCTGAAAAAAATTTGTTTACTTCGATGCCGAGTTAAGAATAATTCAGTCTTCAACACCAGGTTAATGGAAATTTCAACCCTGCTCAAACTAGTCCCAAACTACTGGGAAACCACATTCTAATAGCAAAATTTTCGATGTATGCACCTTTTTAGATAGCTTGCATACTACAATGCAGAGTTAAAAGAGAGGGAGAGAGTTTTCTCATAAAGTGAGAGGCACAACCAGTTTTGCGCCTAGCATTTGGGCCAATCTCCAACTGCTCTGTCACCCTCTTGGGGTGGTCCAATCGAATCCCCGATGCCATAAAGAATTATAGTGTGGAACTGTAAACGAGTGAGAGTTTACAGTCAACATTGCTTGACAGCTGAAAACTTTTTTGGAGTGAAAAGTTCACAAAAGCGACATCCGTGTGGAACAACGCTACCTGCAGCCTAACCAATAGATAACTTACCTTTATACTTATAGGAGAACACAGTGTGTAGGAAAATACTCGGAAACAATTTCAGGATGATCGGAAAGAGAATGTAGAAGAAAAGGAACAGACGACCAATAGTTGAATAAGTCAGATTCCTCCAAAGAGAAAATAACTTTGTCCTGAGAAAAGAAATTGAAGAAATTAGAATTTATCCCTGAAGTCATATTTATACACCTTTGACTCTACACTAGGCACTTCACAAGCAATGTAATGTGAAAATCTACTTTATTTTATAACAGTGGTACTCAAACCACGGCCCGTGTGATGATTCGATATGGCCCATGCCACCAAACTTAAGTGGAATAGTTTAACACTTTATGTTTTTACCTTTTTGCGTTCTAGATTCCACGAATTGTTTATCATCACAGTTTAAGTATGTATTTATTCGTAACAATTCCTCATACCACTATCCTAAATATATGTGCCGGTATTAGGATTACATACCGGCCCATGTAATTAAGATTGGAATCAAGAATGCAAAAAAGTGTAAAATAAACTTAGAACACAAAAAGGTTAAAAACAGACTATTTTGCCCAAATTCGCGGGCCACAGTAAAAAGTAACGCGGGCTGAGATTGACCCAACGAGTCACAGTCTGAGGAACATATTATTGAGCTTTTGTCAAGTCCAGGTTAAGATTAGTTCGGGAACAGTCAACCAGTTAATCGCTCAGGATATATGAACTCCATGTACAAGATGGTAAAAAGCACAATAGCAAAACACTGACCTGAACCCCATAGTTCCTGGTTTATCCATCAAGCACCAAACTTTTACATTTTGAGGTAGAATAACTGGCTTTTATTTAAGTCTAAGAAAGATTAAAAAGCGAAAAATGATCAACAAAACTATATTTTCGAGGCAAAAATTATAAAAATTGTCAAATACGGGCAGAGGATAGAAATATATCAGTGATTCAGTAGCTGTTTGCAGAGATATTGTCAGGGGGTTTTGTGGGGTCGGAAGAGGCCCCGCTCATCGAAATGTAAAAAAGTGCAATTTTTCTGTAGCATAAACAGCATAGCTTGAAACACTTTTTATGCCCACAAAACTCTTGAAAACTGGCATTTCGGACACAACCACGACCCGTTACCTGACAAGTCTGACTTGGCAATTAGAGATTCCAACCCCCCCTTCAAGAATTCCAGGATGCATGTTTATATTGATTTCAAAAAAAGATTCCGAATTCTCAACTAGAAGCGAAAAGAGTACTGAAAGAAGAGTTGCAAACAACCATTGACACCCGAACAGCTACGAGCCTTGCAACTGATTGTCGATACAAAGCAATTTTTGATAGCTTGATTTTTTTCAACACAAAATTGTCTGAGAAATAGCTAAGTAGAAATAAATTGCATGTCAAAAACAGCTCAAAAGCGTTCCAATCCAAAGCCCGATTTGACAAAACGAATAAAAATTAGACAAAAAATATATCGATTATATATACATATACATATATATAGCTTTATAAATGGTTTTGGCCTAAAACCCAATGATGCATGACCAGACATCACAATTTCATACTTGGTCGTATGGTAATAATGCTGCCAGTCATGCTTGATTAAAAAATCACACAAATAGTGAAAATTATAGAAAATATTACAGAAAATGCACATTTTAAGGAAAGATTGAGAAAATTTGTTACAGGATATTTGAACTTGTACATATAGTGAAATATTGTAAAAACGAAACCAGGAAAAAACTTAAACATGGTGGATTCACACAAATTGACCTTTACAGAGTTCAGCATGCTGCGAAATATCTTTAAAAATGTCCAAAATTTGGTTCTGAATTATGCTAAACAGGAAGCATATACCAAATTATAAAAATATTCAATTCAGTTCTGCTACACATTTACTAACTAACCATCTCATATTATGTGTGTATATTGCAGGCACCATCTTCCTTTTCCAAACCCCTCAACATTATGGACATTCTGTGGGGAAAAGAGAGTATTACACAATTTCATTCATAATTCTAACGTTTCTACATCACCACTGTGTTATTGTATTTATCGCGTATTGAACATTTCATCCTTTATAATAAATACCGTATTTTAGGAAAGTGAATTATCATTTATGATGGTATCTTAAGACAACCAAACACTTCGAATCATTCATTAACAAGACAGGCTATCATAGGAAATTGAATCCCATTGAACCAGTGGTTCCCAAAGTTGATTGACTGGAGGCCAAAATAAGAGGCTGAAGGAAATTCGCAGGTTGGGAGAGTGAAGCGCCTGCAAGGGGATGATAGCGGTCAGATATTCAGGATACCAGTGCACGTGTTACGATTAGAAACAAGCTCGAACTGCGAAAATGGCGTAAAAATGATGGTATTTAGAACGCAAAAAAGTAAAAACGAGAATATCCGTCGGAGACCGAAGACTTATCAATTGAAACTGTGGTTTCGATTTATGACTCTATAGTGACACCGCGTGTCCCATCACTAATTAATTATTACTCGCTAATTATACGACATAATTCATCCAAAATCAATAGGCTTCTGGTCCGAGATATGATGAATGCACATGCAAAATTTGGAGCAGATTCAACCACGCCTTCGTGAGATATCGCGTGCATCCAACAGACAAACAGACAGACAGACAGACAGACAGACAAATACCTATCAACATACTTACCGATCTGAAGATCGATAAGTAACACAAAGTGTTTAAACTCTCTCACTTAAGCTCAGTGGGCTATATTAATATTACACGGCTGTAATTGGCTGGTGGTTTGGGAACCACTGCATTAGGCTGTATACTTCGGATAATGCTAAAAACTCAAGACAATAATTATACAAACAATTTGCAAAATACAAAAATAAGCGCAAATATGAAAATAGCTAAAAACCAAAAAAGCATAAAAATACGAATTGCTAATGGTGTTGTACATAGCACATGAAATAATATTAAAAACTAAAAAATAAGCAAACATTCTCGAGAAACAAAACAAAAAATCTTTGCTACCATCAAGTGGTTGAATATTATTTAAAACATTTTCAAACCTGATAAAATATAATAGTTAATAAAATATGAAGGTAAAAGATACATAATAATTAAAATGAAATGGTAATTCCCCCTCCCCAATTTTGAAATTGATACATAATATATAGTATTTCAAACAGAAAAATCTAAATCAAACAAGCTTTAAAACTAAAGTGGCAGAGAATAAAAAGCACAATTCTGTATCTATCAATAGCAGTAATCTTAGCAAATATTAGGGTTTTTGCGAGTCCAGGCAAGTATAAGGTGTCTATATAGTCTTGAAAATTGGTAAAACTGCAAAGGGAATTTATCGATACCATATATTGTTTTGGCCCTCACAGACCTGGTTAAGATGTATTGAGAACTGACTTCATAACAAAATTGAAAATTGTAAATAGACTTTATGAACACCCTGTATTTCATTATTTGACCTGCCTAAACCTAATCAAAGATAGCTGTTGCTGAACTGTCACTTGTATGTTGGAGTTATTATTCTGCTCGATTAAACCTTCCACTCAAAAGATTGCCGATTCCACATTCTCATTTTAAAAAACGTCAGTGAGATTAATTTAGAAGTGCCATAATTTCATTTGACATATGGGATCCCAAGACTTCAAAGAAATTTTACGTTTAAAAGGTAACTGGCTACAACAAACTGCCAAATGAATGTGTGGTTGATAAAAGTATGGGGCGGTAAAATTATTGTAGCTATTATGAGAGAACAATACAATTCACCGAAGCATAACAAAAGAATTGTTACTACACAAAAGAACACTGTTTAGAGTGGACATAATAACTACGGGAACTGCTCTTAGTAGAAAAACATTGGTAAACGTCGGCTGGTTTGTAAAAGAGAGGAAAAATTTCATCATACATGACCCGAATAGGAGTAATTCTGCCATGCATGGCTTGGCTGGGAGGGGTAATCGGCAGGGTTGTCCAAAACGAATCGAGTATTCGAATGTATTCGAATATCGAAGTATTCGAATACCTTTTCGGCTGATTTCCGAATAATTCCGAATAGTAGCCACTTTTCGCCGTAAACGTGGTGTTTCGTTTTACGGGAATCTTCAAATGACTTTTTACGCTGTCTCACGTATTGTAATGACGATGAAATAGAATCGGCACTTTGATTGTTTATATTCTGTGCGACCGACCGACCGTACGTCGCATAGTGTTGCGACATATTTGCAAGTTTGCTGGGTGGACATTGCCGACATTCGCCTACGAGGCTTTTAATTTACAAATTCATTTCCATTTCGTCGAAAAATTGACGTCGAAATTATTTTATTTCTATGTGGCCTGCTTATTATTTGCATGAGTCTTCTCAAGCATGATTTGTGTAACCTTATATTCGGGTCTTAGGGTCTGCCAATCATGATATTTTATCGCAGGCCGGTTATCGTTACCTCAAAGAGAAACCTGGTCACCGAGATAAAGTGATTTGCGACCCTTTCGTTTTGCGGATTCAGCAAAACACGACAGGGACAGGAAAACACAGCTGTGAAATAACCCGTGGACGTACAGTGTATTACTTATCACATTCCAAAATTATTTCAATGTTCGGGTTAATAGGTTGTCCAAAATGGTTACCGCTTTACAACTTAAATGTACCGCTCAATTGTTAAAAATAGTTAATTCTGTGAGTATGATTCTACCAAACTAACATGATCTGGTTCTAAACATATAAAATTATTAGCGCATATCAGCATAACTGAACAACAGGGACACAATTTTTCTACCCGTCCTATTGGAGGCCTATATGGAAAAACCCCTTTTTGAGTGCTAAAAATAGACATCGTCCTATTTGCCATGTGGACTTATTAGCCGGGAAATACGGTATTTATAGCCGTCATTGTTACGATGTTCAATAAATTGTCACAAGTTGGAAAAACAAGTCGATTTATTAGAAAATAATTTCTGGCAAATAATTCTGATAACGATGGTTAAAAGTATCGATCCTTTACCAGGATGATTTTTGTTGCGCAAAATAATGCAATCCATGACTGGTACCAGCTTTTAAAATGTCATGCCGTATTAATTTAATTCTGTTCAACGTAACTCATGATTGTATCGACAATCTGTGGACATAAAATGTGTGGTAAACTGACCGATTTTATTAAATATTGATTCCTATTTTTATATTGATAAAATAATGAAAGTATTGATACCAAATACCACGGGTATTTGTGGACATGAAATACGTGGTGAACTGCCCAATTATAATTAATTTCGGATTCGATTTACAAAATAATAAAACTATTATAATTCTAAAATGCAACGGCGATCTGTGACCTTGAAATGTGTGGTAAGCTGCCCGATTTGCCAACATTTGAGTTATGATAATAGAATTAAATTAACATGGTAAGGCATTTTAAATAGTGGTATCGGTCATGGATTCGAATATTTTGCGCAGCACAAAATCATCCTAGTAAAAAGTCCATACTTTTAAATACAAACCAATGGCAACCATTATCCAAATTAGTTCCCAAGAGCGGGATAAAGTATAAATTCTTTTTCTGACTTGTGACAATTTTTCGTGAGTACGAAAATAAGAATCAAAAACTAAATATATTCGGCACATATCACGGCAATCTGTGGACATAAATTGTGTGGCAAACTCGCGATTAATATTAATTTTTGATTCCCATTTTCGTATTTACAAAATACAACGGCGATCTGTGGACTTAGAATTTGTGGTAAACTACCCGATTATAAATAGTTTTTGATTCCTATTTTCATATTTATAAAATAATAAAAGTATTATTACTCAAACATACAACGGCGATCTTCGGACTTAGAATGTGTGGCAAAGTTCTTGAATATAATTAATTTTTGATTCGTATTTTTGTACTCACGAAAAAAATTGTCGGAAAGACGGAAAAATAACTCATACTTTATCCCGCTTTTTGGCAAATAATTTGGATAATGGTTGGTATTTAAAAGTTTGGGTGTTTTACTAGAATGATTTTGTGTTGCGCAAATATTCAAATCCATCATCGATACCACTATTGCTGTATTAATTTAATTCTGTTAACATGACTCATGGTATATAAAATATATACTGCAATAATCTGCAAATATGAAATGCCTGGTAATATAGCTAGGTTGTAACTTGTAGATAGCAGTTATTCCATTGCTTATTGTATGGAAATTCTTACATACATTTAGATAAGCTTCAATTAGTGGATTTTATTTTCGAAGTATTCGAAATTTCATATTCGAAAAAAATAATTTCGAATGTATTCGAAATAGTGAACTATTCGGTATTGGCCATCCCTGGTAATCGGTCATGCATGGAATGATTAAGAGAGAAGAGGGAGGGGTAATTTGGTCATGCATGAAGTGGCGGGCAATTCAGCCATGCATGACCAGATTAACAGAATGAAGAGGGTGATTTATTGCCATGCATGATTTGGCAAGTTTGGTAAAAGGGGAGGGGTGATCAGCTTTGCATAATCTTTTTGGGTGGGGCTATCCTAAGTCAGGGGTTGGCAAATTTTGAGCACTCATGCTCTTTCAAAAAAGTTGTAAAAATTCTCACAACTGCATATCCTACTAAGCCTAATTGAACAGAACAAAAAAATGAGTAGATGGGTTGGGGAGGCAATGACCTAACTTACCCTAAATGAGAAGAATTAAAGACAACAGGCAATAACAATCAGTACAGAGCCTCAAACTGGGAAAATTACGAAACAGCTCACAAATGTAATAAAAAATTAAAATATAAAATACAATACAATATAATAAACAAAATGTCATGCCTTGAGAAGAAAGCAGCTATATATAAATTCATTAAAAACACAATGAGACAATTTTGCCACTGAATTGGCAGTCTTTTAAGGTTGGAAACTTGAATTATCGTGTATTCTCGCGTATTAGTCGACCTCCTGAAAACGGCCTTAAAACGATGAATTTTGAAAAATTAACATATAATTCAAACGTACAAATCATAACACACTGTACGCAGGAATATCCAATTTTATAATTGAAATACAACAAACAATACTTCTAATGCCATAATCAATTTAACAACCTCAATTCAAGGATAACATCATAAACAGGCCATTAATGGATAAGCTGAACAAATCATACCTAGGTATGCATGTGTAGGATATCCAGTAGGATGTCCAAAACCAATGAAATAGACTCAAAATCACGTTTATATACAAATAGAATCACACAGACAGCCTTCATTAACTGGTTATTAAATATGACTGCAGTTTCTACAAGAGTTTTTCAACAGAAATTCCCATCTCGAAACAAAATTATGATGCGAGGATGTGCAAAACGAATCAAATAGACTCGAAACTGCCTTTATTTAAATATGGAGCGATTTTTTATGCTATGTCTTTCACACAAACAACCTTCAACTGGTCAAATTTGACAGAGACTCAGGGCATTTCAACGAAAATTTCTAGTATCACCAGTAAAATACAACTCGGGACGGCCGAAACAAATCAAAACTGCCTTTATATTGATGTGAAGCCTATCGAACTGATGTTATGTATGATGATGTTATCCTTGAATTGAGGTTGTTAAATTGATTATGGCATTAGAAGTATTGTTTGTTGTATTTAAATTATAAATTGGATATTCCTACGTATGGCGTGTTACGATTCAAATTTGTTTACTAGACGTTCAAAGTGTTTTATTTGAAACTTTCATCTCAATGAACCTTTTTTTAAAACATAAAATTATAAATCCTGTGATAAACCACCATTAAGCCGAACAAATTACACATAGGAATGCAAATTGCCCTAATTCATAGTCTTGTAGGAAATAAAAGACTAATGGGAGTTTTACTACACAGATTTATTGCTTGCTGTGTCTTCTATAGTAGTTAATAATGCTTTAGACCAGTGGTTCTTAAACGGTGAGCGTAGACAATTTAGTGAGGGGGCGTTAAGTTAATTAAAAATAATGATATTTGTTAGATCTGATCTTGCCTGCCTTTTTTTGGATATTTACAGTTCTTTATTTTGGACGTTTACGTCCATCCGCATATTTTCAACGAACTTTGGAAAAAAACATACTTTCAACCAATGTTCCCTCTAATTTATTGTAGTATGTGTGCGCAGAAATTTTGGTGTGTGTGCACTTTTTTGGAAATGACTAACATTTGTGCAAAAACCAATGAAGAATATTTGGCGTTCTAACTGGGTAATAAGTGGGCCAACAACAAACTTTCTCAACCTTTCAATCGAGCACATTGTTACATTACATCGAAATACGCCTGTGCGCAGTAAATCTATGCGTGTGCGCAGCCTCTGAAAGCTGTGTGCGTGCGCACACCTTAGAGGGAGCACTGCTTTTAACTTACTATCTGTTATTTGTATTTTAGTCCAAAAGGGGGCAGGACTTGAAAATTTTGAGAATCACTGATCAGAATTATTCTTAAATTCAAAAATTTACTATCGAATATAATGAAATTCAAATGTATTCCAATATTTGATTCGGTTTAAACATCCCTGGGCTCTGCTACATTGGTACCCAACCTATAATGTCTTCTGGCCCCCTTCCGGAGACTTTCAGCACTCATGGCCCCTGTTTATTATTCCAGTAGTATTTAATAAAGTGTTATTTTGATTGGTAGATTCCAAATCCCATTATGTTCAAACAATTCATTCTCAACAAAGTGAAAATAACCTGTGAAATAACCTTATCAAGCAATGAAACTAAGAAGAACAGGGAGATTTCTAGTAAACGTAAAATAGGTTTTGTGCCTGGCATGGTGGCCCCCATTCAATTGCCCTGTGGCTCTTTTGTTGGGTTACGGGCCCCATTGGGGAACCACTGCTATAGTGTTTAATTCTTACCAGCCTAGTTGCAACGACTTTTTATTCAAAAGTAAGTTGTCCTTTTATAAGTATCAGTGTAAGGTTCATACTGACTTGAGGGCCTAGTCCTATGATACCTCTCCGATAACCGTCTTGTATTTACAGGAGCCCTTTCCGCTTTCGATATCGACCTCGGCACTGATTGTTGCCTCGGTACGCCCCGAACAAAAGGATCATAGGGGTCAAAAACAGGTTCATAACTCGGAGAAGACACTTGGGGTGATATTTGGGGGTAATTCCAAACTGGAACCCCATTGTATGCTTGTTTTCGGTTATATCCAACGGGCATATCCCTTTCCTGATATTGTAAATGAGGATTCGAAAAATCTCCGTTTGTATATCCATTCATGTCCAAATGCCGTTGATCTAACTGGGGTGAAAAATACTGTCGATTTTTAATACTGTTTCTTTCTTTCTCATTTCGTCTACTTCCCATCAAAAGCTCCTTCTCTTTGCGATACAAGTCGTACCCTCCGGAGTATCTTCTGCCACTAGGGTGCAGCTTTGGAGTGTCTCGATACGAGGATTTTGGAGCCTGTTGGGAATATTCAACTCTGCGGTTAGAATTATTATTTTCGTTTGATATTTTTAACCCCCCATTTGGCGATTGTGGGCTGCTGTGGATCGCCCCGTTTGATAGATTCGGACTCATTCGATTCTCTCCACTAGGTGACTTCGGACTATAGGATGTTTTTTCAACCTCCTCTTTATCTTTATGTACAGATGAGCTTGCATGTCCATTAGGCATTTTTGAACCCTGAACTTCTTTTATTACCTTTTGGCTTTGATGCTTTTTGATACCATTAGATACTGGCAACACAGTTTGGCTTTTCATCGGGCTATTGACTGCATATTCGTTAAGACGACTCTGCGAACTGGCTTTTTGTCTTGTAGGTTGTTGTAAGCTCAAAGCCCAGTGGTCTGATGTAGCAAGAGAACTGACAGATCCCCCAGCGCAAGGAGCAGACGGGTTGATTGAACGCCGCTGATAGAATAGAATATAAACCGACTGTTGTGATAAGTTCTCCTCCGAAACAACTTCAGTTTTGCGGTCGTCGAAATTATACCATTGCCCATCTAACGGATTCAAGCAACTTGCTGTATAATGCCCAGAATTCAAGTTGCCGAAATGGTTGCAAACCGCGTATAAATCGTACAGACATTCTTCGTTTTTGACATGATGGTTACGAAGTCCATTTAAGTGATGCCAGCACCGCCATTTTGATGAGTTTAGGCCTTGAGGATTCTAGTAAGTACGGAGACATATCGAGTCCCATTATAGGAAATCAAACTCTCGTATTCAACTTATTCCTTTTGTCGTTAACGGCTTGAAAACGTTTTAAATGCACGATTAGAACATCTGGTAATGTATATAGACTTAGTTTTTTGACTGTCCCTTGTTTAGCTTTATGGCAGTGTGGGCAATCCCAGGAATCCTCAATTCCTAACTCTTCTGGTTTTGTAAGTAAATCAAAACATTCTTGCAAAGTACAAGTTACAGGTTGTTGATGGATCAGCCTTTGTAATCGCACACTTTCTTGCTCCTCAATCGTATCTTGCGCAATATCTTCAAATATTGTGCAATAATCATCTTTTTCCCATTCTGCAATGAGTTTTATATGTAATGGACCACCAGCTGGGCAGTTTTGAAGTGCAGTTTCTGCTGTGGGGGCCAACAATGGCTGCTGAGACTTCTGTGAGATTAAAGACTTATTCGGAAGACCGTCAACTACATGTAGTTTCATTACCGATAATATTTTTTCTGTATTCACCCCTTTTTAGTAAATTCTGACAGTTTTGTGATGATTAAAGAGCGTAAATCTTCGTTTAAAACATCTTTTGAAACATGGAAAATCAGTGGACGTCCAAATACTTTCGAATTCTTTCCATCAATTTTTTTATTCACTAAAACGATGACCACGTTCTTCGGCAATGCAGTAGCGCCATCTGGGGATGTAAGCACATCTTTCGTTATGCTGACTCCGTCACCGAAACTTGCACGTTTTTTATGTCGACTAGCGAAATTTCTCGGCAAAGTCCCAGCTGTCATTTTCATTGGCGCCGGCATTTCCAATGCGTACAATTTAGACACTGTGTGGGAAACTTGAGGTATTTTACTGACTAGCATATCATCACCATACGACTGTCCAAACCCATCTTCCCCATATTCGACAAATGTCAGCAATCTTGAATGAATTCCACATTCAGCAGCGACGAGTTGTCGTAACTGAAGCACTTTTCCATCCAAAGCAACTGCAACAGCGATTTGTTGCACTATCCTCGGTGAAGCGTGATGCTTTTTTCTCCCTTCGCCTTTCCTTTTCGAGCTATTTAAGTACGCTACGTTAACGTAAATCGCTCGAGTTGTTCTCTGAGTTATCGGCAATGAAACACACAAAAAAGGATCGTTTGTGTGACTCTGACGTTTACAATTCGGACATGTCAATGTCGACCGAAAATGCGCTTGGAAAACTTTCTGAACAAAACTAGTTGGCACAATATCTAATTGAGCTTGAATGTCTTTTGCTTCTGCGCTCATCTTCGCAGGATCAGCAACTTTCTTTTTCCGTCGAAACGATGCACGTGATAAAGAAAACGACTTTTTCACAGGTTGTATGTTCAAATCCTCGTGGACTTTATCAAAAAGCCATAAAAGAAACTCTTGAGAATCATGTTGGTAGCAGCCTTTGTATTGCGAAGCATACTTGCACATTATATCTTTCAGCCCTTTCGTCATGGAAACATCATAATTATTCATCCATAAACTTTTTATAAGAAGAGCTAATTGGTCCGCAAGTTCGCCATTCGTACCGTACTTTTTACTTCGCTCTTTCCGAGCGTTTTTTAAATCCGCTCTGTATTGTCCCATAACAAAGTATTCAGCTATCAAGTCAGTGTTGCTTAAACACTGCACAATAGCATTAATATAGCATGTTGAACCGTGATTAGCGAGTCCGCATACACCAGGTGGCGCAAAAGTACCATTCAATGAAGTAGAGTAAGCTCCTTTACCACTCAAAGACACAGTTTCGCTTGAAATCCCATTATTTTTTAAATTATTCTGTCCATTTGTATTTCCATTTTGAGGAAGATTTCCATCTGACCTATGATGACTGTTATGATCAATAAATCCGGCTTCAAGTGCGTCATTATCAACAGCGGACTTTTTGTATTTTTTCCGAGTAAATTTCCGCATCATGTGGGACGTTAGGAATGCTCCAAATGTCTTGAACGATGTCTTACGACGCTGTTTCTCTCTTTTAGAAGGCATTTCGATTAGACTCAATTAAAACATAAAATATAGAAACTATAGGAATGTTAAAAACTGTAAATGAAAACAAATAAGGATTTGAGCAGGCATATCCACGAGGATCCATTTTTTTTAACTGTTTTTTTACAAAGATTCCAATGGCTGAATGGTAACATTTTGAATTTCTTTTCAGTTTATTGCGATGCCAGTTTGCTGTTTTATACAGATATTACGGTATGTACTTAATCGCCTTCCTTATATTCTCAATCAATCATTCATTTATTTCGGTAGTCTACTCTGACATAAAAACAAAACTGCACAAAAAGTAGACGAACAAACAAATGCAGAGATACCTGGAAGGCGAGCATAACTTAAAATAAAGTTCGCGCCCACCCACCAAAAAAATAATAATAATAGGTCTACAAGCATACAAGAAAACACGATTCTGAATCGGGCAATGCTTCAAGAAAACACATTATTGTTATTGTAAAATTTAGGTCGGTGAATTAAATGTAATACACTTCTAACAACTTCTTCCGTCTAATTGTGGTAATTGAATGATCACCAGAATTTAAAACTAATATAATGAAAAGAAGCATAAACCATTTTTGGTGAACTAACACGTAGCTGCCCTACCTCTTTTGACAACACCTTCCATTTTAAAATCCAAAAAGTTGCACCGGTACGGCTATTTAATTCCAGTAAGTTTCTGTACCGTATGACCTCCCGATCGACCGATTCTGAACCGGTACCGGAAATCAGTTTTATATTATCAACTACCCGTGTCGTCTGTTATGCTTATCATGGAAGCTAAATAAACTCATTATATTATAATTACATACAGTACGGTACCTAAATACTGAAATGCCTATCTCTGTAAACACCGGTACCGGTAAGCTTTACTACGCAGTCGCAAACTAGAAAAGTCAGCGCCACGGCCGGTGCCTCCACGGAGATGTCTGAGCCACCCGGTATTTGCGTTGCCAGATTTTTAAAATACCGTATTCAGGAATTCCAACTACCCTTGAAATGTTAAATGATAGTTTATTCAAATTCATTTCTAATTATTATCAACGCGTTTTTATAAAATAAAACGTCATGTTTTCTGGGAAGGAAATCGAAACAAGAAATATTTATTTTCAGATATTGAGAAAAATTGGTTCATCAATCACATGTTCAATCATTTACTATTTCACAGTTCTTACTGAGATTCGATCATATACCGTGTTTCCCCGAAAATAAGACTTTAATTGGTCCTTATTTCCATTTTCTTCTGGAATGTAACACTAGCGTCTATTTTCAGGAGATGTCTTATATTTTCATTCATCGAAAACGAAATTACAAATTCGAAAATTACGAGATTTTAAAATATACAAAAAAAGGGAAAACCGATATCATTTACTTATAAATAACACGTTTTCATTTAGAATAACTCCAAAATATAGATTATCAATCATATAAACATGTAGCAGAAATTTCTTGCTATCGACTAGGTCCTAATTTAAAGGGAGGGCCTATATTAAAGCTCTTTCAAAATTTAGGCTAGGTCTTGTTTTCGGGGGAATACGGTAAGTATAAGTACAAGTTTATATCTCCAATAACATTCTATTACAATCATTATTTGATTCCCGGATACTGTTTGTTACGGGCTATCTTAGATTCTATACCTCACTTTTGGTTTCTTAAATTGCTATATTGTAACTTTTTTTTGGGACTTACTGTGAATCTGATTGTTATATCAGGTATTTCAGGTATTTATTGCGTTATTTTTGTTTTGCTTATGTTTATTTGTTGTGTTGTTTTTATATGGACCACAGCGGTCTGGAGTAATAAACGAATTGAAACCCCATAATCAGCATAATAACGATAAAGAAATTGATAAAGAATACAAATAAAACTAATTATGGAACCGGGAGAGCAAACAAAACCTCAAGTAAGGTTTGAAACGTACAGTTTTCAGATGGAAAGATGTTGATAAAATAAGTAGTACGTGTTAAGGCCCGCACGCACACACAATCATCGAGATATGATAAGATCGGATATGATAAGATATGATATACTATTCTAATAATGAGTTTTTCATTATGTGAGTTTATTTGTCTCGAAATGGTAAGAAATTTAAATGAGATGACAATTTTATCTTCAAAATAGCAGGAATGCAAAAAACATACTGACCATGAGCAGCATGATAAAAAATGTCACTTCATTTATATCTCATTTCATGTAAATTTTCTCTATATTTACAAATTATTGACTTTTTTAAACTCTTAGTAATTTTCCTGAATGTGCATGGATCGAACCTGATAACTAACTTCAATCATTAATTCCTTGTATTTGTGCCATTTAAAGTAATATAAATATAAGTGATACTCTAATAATTAGCCGTTTCACACATCAGTGGCGTAGCATCCACCCCCGCGGTCGCGGGAGGGCCCACATCGCAAAGAGGCCTAAGCGGTTAGAATTCAGAAATTTGAGCCGCAAAACCGAAAGTTGCATTGCAAAACCAGTAATGCACATCTTATAACGTTGATATTAGTTCTGCTCAAATCGTTTTGTTAAGTAACAATGCCAGGAAGTCGTCGATTTTCGGCGTCTTGTGGTTTGATCGCACTGGCAAAATTACGAAGGCTGTCAGAATGATTTTGCAAGCAAAACCTCTCAGTGGCGCACAAAAACGCAGAAAAAAGGCAGAAGAGGGAAAACGTATGAAAAAATTGAAGTAACCAAGATAAACGGCAAATTTTAGGTTACCACTGCCTTTTTATAGCGACATGTTATGCTTTTTGACGAAATAAAAAAGCTATGTTTTAGCTTATGTCCGAGAGTTCTAGGGTCATTTCCACGAAATATTTTTGCAGGGGGCCCACGAAAGTCGTGCTACGCCACTGGCACACATAGTCATCCAATAACTGTGAATCCCATGCATAACAGTGAAATAAGGGGAAGCTGACTTGGATGACGGTATGGCCGTATCGCTCCCTCCAGTCTTTACCAGAGAAAGTGTATATTTATTTGTATGTATGCTTACATATTTATACTTGTTTTGGTTAATTAACCAATCAATAAATCTCTTTTTCTTTCCCATCCAAATACCGTAGGATGATGGGCTAATTCAGAATAAGCTAATGACGAAGCAACAACTTGGAATGAAATTCAGTTGTCACAGACCTGTTATGGTGACGTCACAAGAAAGCTGGAACACACAGTTCACACTACACTTCCTAACCGCCAGAGTGTGTCATTGGGCTGTTCAGAGACCAAAAGTATAAATAACGCTCATTATTTCGTTACCACTAAATGCCCAGCATTTAAAATTTGCAATATAGTCAGAATAATATTGATTATACGCGAAAAGAAAATATCAATTCATTGCTCTTCGCGATTGTAACTGTAAATTACCTCCAAATTTCTGGCAGAATTTTTTCCAGATATCAAGGATTCCATCCCGCGTTTTTATCTTTCGTTATACATGTTTACACGTGTGATATGGGTAAACTGGCACATGTATTTCTACGTGTTTTAAGCCTTATCAAAGGTTTTGCCCGTTTTCCTAATCTTTCCTCAAACTTATAGGGATAATAATTGTTTGTGAGACGAGCTAAGAAAGGCGTGGCGACAAATATAGAAATAATCAGATACGTGAAACAAGAATTACCAGACGTTTACCATCAGGGATTTGTCCCTGATGAACGGGAGAGAGAGAGAGAGATTTATTGTTTTGTTAACCGTAAACGAACAATGGTATACAAAATAATATATACAATATACACAAAGTTAATTCGGCATAGACTGGGGGGAGCGATACGACCATAAGGTCATCGGAGTCAGCTCCCCCCAAGTTCACTATTAGGATTCACAGTTAAATGTATATAAATAAGAAATAAAATAAAAAAGATACTCATTGGAGAGTTGACCAGAACTCTTACAGAATATTTTTGAGATTAGGCTATAAGATGGTTGAAGCAATGGCATTTTCAGGTTTTAGGTCTGGGGTTTGACTTCTAGTAGGTCCATTTCATAACATTTTTTTTGTTTTGCATGCAATGTAGGAGACTATCTAATAAATACAATACTTATGTATTAAGCTGGTTGAATATTGTTCGTCACATCAAAAATTTCTACTGAAAGATAGAAGCCAGAACATACCAGTGGATAACTGCCTGAGGCTTGAAATAAGCGATAATTGGAGTGATATAACAGTTAATACATGTATGATTAGGGGAAGATCGAGGACCTTGAAAATTAATCACGAAGCAAATTCTCCAGTCCAGTCTCGGATGATTTCATACTTTGCCAAGATACATTAAATTCAATTGGGCTTCAAATGAAAACATGTACAAATCACTTTGCTTGAAATATACATACAGAAAAACTTGGTGCGACAAATGACAGAAAATTTTCACTATTAAGACCTGCAACGGCAAGAAAAATAGGATACAAAGATGGAAAACTTGATAATGTGACTATTTGATTACAATATTATATTCATAGTGCTTATAATGAAATTGCTTATTATATCATTCTTTATAAATAGTACCTTACAGTTTGCTGAACAAATAATCACTATTAATAAATAATAAATGAATAAATGCCGTTTATTTCAATACATAACGTCCATGCAAGACTTTGTAAAATGATGTGTATGCACGCGCAACTATATTCCTATACTTTATTCCAGTGGCGTAGCATCCACCCCCGCGGTCGCGGGAGGGCCCACAGCGCAAAGGGGCCAAGCGGTTAGAATTTCGAAATTTAAGCCGCAAAACCAAAAGCTGCATTGCAAAACCAGTAGTGCACATCTTATAACGTTGATGTTAGTTCTGCTCAAATCGTTTTGTTACGTAACAATGCGCAGCAGTCGTCGATTTTCGGCGTCTTGTGGTTTGATCGCACCGAAGTTACGAAGGCTGTCAGAATGATGTCGAAAGCAAAACCTCTCAGTGGCGCACAGAAACGCAGAAAACGAGCAGAAGAGTAAGCACGTATCAAAAAAATTAATTTAACCAAGATAAACGGCAAATTTTAGGTTACCCTTGCCTTTTAATAGCGACATGTTATGCCTTTTGAGGAAATAAAAAAGCGTTGTTTTAGCTT